CATGCAGATTAGGCATAGAAACTGTAAATTACCTGATTATGTCTCCTTTAGTTGATACATTTCATTCAGACCTCCTGGCCATGGCGACGGACTTTCGTTATCCATGCCCATCTCACGCGCAGAATGAGGCGGAGATGTTAGTCAATCGGCTTTTATAAACTACAGCATGCGAACGAGGACTGCTGGTACACAACCAGCCAACCAACACCCCTCATCTGTACGCCGGTTTTAGTAACAGTCCGGTTCATACTATTACCAGAGACTGATTTACTTCACTATCTGGAACAGGACACCGGTTACCAGCACACTGGCTATAATCACTTGCTGCCTCTTACGAGCAGTACCTCTTAGATTTTCTGTGAAAAAAAAAAAAGGTTTCGTGTTTGTAAGTTTTCTTTCCAGGTTTAAAACTTTTTCTTTAATGTTTTTTATGACCTTAGGAAATTAAAGACTAATCAAGCGAAAGATTCTTCTGTGTACAAAAGTGGGTCAGGAACTTTCAGGCAGCGAGGGCGAGAGCGAGAATAAAAATATTCCACAAAGGATGTTTCTTTTTTTTTTTTTAAACTAGAGAAATGATCAAATCGCTTCGCCACTAGTTGTCCACTGTTGTAAACGGATGTCTCTCCACGGCTCGCCGCCCCCCCCCCCCCCCCCCCCCCCCCCCCCCCGCCCGCTGTCCACTTCTGCTGCACAAAGCAGGGCGGGAGGGAAGAGGAGGGAGGGGAGTAGCACAGTTGTTCGTTCAAGCCTTGTGGGTGGTGACACTATGAAAAAAAAAAAAAAAACGAAAAAGGAGGATGAATGGAATTAGCTGGTAGCCGAAGGTTTTTTTTCGCCTTCGAGAAGTGACTTTTTTTTTTTTTAACTTTTCTGTGACGGATGCTGGTTCGGTGCAGCGATAAGCTGGTGCAGGATTTTGAGATAAGCTCGTGCAGGATTTCACCAGTTTTGGTCAAAAGTAACGAGTAACGAAATTTGACAGCCGATACCGTAAAAAAAGTAACGGAAATACTTTACTCGTTAGTCATTCAGAATACTAACGAGCACGTTACTGCGTTAGCGAAAAATGTAACGCGTTACCAGTAAGGTAGTTACTAGTAACGCGTTACCTCCAACACTGCGTCTCCGTTAGCAGACGCAAGTGTTGCCACCACTCTGTGAGGGCCGCCTAGCAAGATTAAGGGATTCTACTCTGGAGCTACCGCTGCCTCTTCAGCCTTGTTGTCTTGTTGAGGGCTGGAGTTATTAACCAGCAGAAGTAGCCACCTAAGGTTGTTCCTCAGCTAGAAAACACCAGAATTTATTAATCTCATACTTGATGTGTCTCTTTAACAGTCGACCAAGGCAGTACAAAATGGCGAAGGAAAGAAGATTCACACAGCAGCCATTGAAATCTAAACAACTTCTAAGAAGAAGAGATGGGACGACTGACACCCGAAGATGCAAACGCAGCTGTACTGCGTTCACCCTCATTAATCTGAGACCTAATGGGTCGCATCTTCATACGCCTCAGCCCCAAACCAAGCTTTAATACTCATTTTGTTTTCGGAATACGGCGTGTCAAACTCACGAGAACAAAATTTCAATCACAGCATAGTATAGCAGGGGTTGAAGTGGACGATACATCTCGTGTGCTGATTCGCTATAGGTTGGCTCTGAATATTACCTGGTTGGGGTGATCAGTGCATACTCATCTCATTTGAATGTAAATCTTAATTGTACTCTTTCATTGCTCATTTGGAATGCTTGATTTTTTTCTTTTTTTAAATTTCACACCCAGTTTCAGCTTGCTGAATATACGTAGTTAAAGGTACAAGCAAGTATTGTCGCTTTCCGTTCCTTCCTGTTTATTAACCGTTGTCTTTCTAACCTTGCAGATCAAAATCGGCAGGAATTTTGACGCAGATGTGAACGACATTTTGCAGCTTTGGAAAGTTGGCCTCTCACCAGCCTAGTCCCCCTTCTGTGGTGCAACGTCTTTGTGCTACATTATGTCTTTACACGTATGCGACAGAGTCGGATCAAATGAGATGGCTACAGTTGAGCCTGCAGCGTGTAAACTTTCCATTGTCTGCCTTACCTCACTTTGCCTAATTAACGCCCTCACCCCCCCCCCCCCCGCCCCTCCCACTCCTTTCAAAGCCTTTCATACATTTATTGATTGAATATGTGTAATCCCTCAAAGTGTGCCTTAATGCGGACAAACGGAATAGTGTGTCTTACTTTTGGTTTATTATGTAGAATCTCTGAAGGTGGTGGTCTCTAATTCGGTGAAACAGCGTGCACTATCTGCGTGTTTGCTTTATTGTTTGCTCAAGTAAAGGCAGGTATACTAATTTCTCATTGCCATGCTTACAACCGCACATGCTTAAAACACTGGTGACTACTTATGACCTGCAGCGCAGCGGCCGGTCATCAGCAGTCACAAGATGGTTCACAAGCATCTCCGGTCGTAAACAGTCACAAGTGTGTCAACTGCCGAACTTCGTTCCTTTATGACCGTACTCTCATATTGGGTCTTAAGAAAACTATCTGCAGACCTGTTCAAAGCACACATATGTGTGCTTTGAACACGTCCGCAGTCAGTTTTGGTAGGCCCAATATGAAATGACACGAGAAAGAAACGCGCCTCAGATGGTATTTGCACACTGGTTTTTGCTTGGCGTACGAGCAGTGTTACCGGGTCTTTACGGAGCGAGTCAAGAAAACGTCTGCAGATGACTAGTCTGCTAACTTAGGTGAACAACAGAATTCGGCTGCTACGAAGCGTCATTCGCAGAGAAAGAGAAAACAAGAAAATCTTTTACGTCTTCCGTAAACGAACCGGAATAAAGGCAGCCGTCTGCTAAAAGGCGAGTGCCACGAGAAAGTGACACGGGACGCAAGCTGAAACTAAAATGGTCTGCTATACTTCCCGTTCGATGAGATCGACAACAAGCACTCCCTCTGCAAATTTCCAGCCCCGCTGCCCTATATAGCTCAAATTCTTCTATGTAAGTAGTACTCGGGACAAATACCTTAAATACCTCGAGAACCCTGTCACCATCCGTATGTTGGTGAGTAGCTCTCACCAAAAGGACTCGCGAACAGACTAGAGATTATCTAGTGACATGACTTCGCACTTGTCGATAACTCTCGCAGAGCAAAACGGTGAGGCGTCATGTCCAATCAGTAACCGAGAATGCTATCGCTCTCACCAGGTACCAAAACCGACCCCCAAAGTTGGTTGTGAAAAGCTGGCGGAACAGGGCTGAACAAAATCAGTAATACGAGCCATGTTCCAGCCTGAACCATGCCCTCAGGGTCCGGGAAGATTTTACAGAGGAGGTGTGTAGAAGTTGTTTAAAATGCATAAACAAAACTACGAATGAACTAACGAGGGATTCGAAATGTGTAAAGCTATGGCGGTCTCGAAGATGAGACGTCTTCAAAGGGAAGCTTAAGCGGTTTTGTAATTGAGGAATCACAGTTAAATTGTCTTAATTTGCCCTCCAGGAAGCCCAATGTTTAAATTATTTTTCAATTTCATGCACGAAGGCAGCAGAAAATAATTTTGAAAGTACCGCTGAAGCCCCTCCTTCCCGGAGCGTGCCATCATAAAAGGAGTTTCCGGAATCTCCGCTCTCGCGCATCTTCAGTGTCTATCGAAGTTATGCACGCGACTCTTGCTATTTTTAAAAAGTGAAAAAAAAAGACGCCATGATTGCTGCCAGTGCGGGGGAGTGGCAAGCCTGCAATTGCTCACGAGCGACACACGCTTGACGGCCGAAAGATCCTTTTATGTTGTAATGACTGGTCGGAGTTCTTTCGTGTGTTCTCGCATTTAGTTACATCTTCGGGGAAAACAAACGAAATCTTCAAAATTACGGGATCAAACAACGCAGAAATCAACCTCTATCTCATTTTTCGGAAAAAGCGTTTCAAGATCAAGAGGAGAAAGCCACTCAAACTTGTCTTGAGTTGGAAGAAACAAAAAGGAAAAAACTAACATTTGCGTTGCATTAAGGACTGGAAACTTTGTACTATACTCCGTTTCACCTTCAGTCCGAGCGCAGCGGACGCTAGCAGCCATCCCAGCCAATCCAGCATGGAGAGAGTGTCATGTGACCCTGAGCTCCCTGCGTCGCTCCGCCCAACCAGCACGTCACGCGATTTTCTCCCGGCGCTGGATCGGCTGGGATAGCTCGTGGCGTCCACTGCGCTCGGACTGAAGGTGGAACGGAGTATAGTGTTGAATGGTGATCAATTGATACTAGAGATCCCTTAACCAAATTATAACGTTTTGTGATCAACTTCTGGATGATCTAAAATGCTTTTTACCAATGCGGTTTTTTGGGGAACTCGTGAACGTGAACCAATTGAGTATCTTAGCTAAAACTCGTTCTTCCCAAGTGGGCCCCGCTTATGTTAGTTTTTGGCAGAATGCGAGCCTGAATGATTGATCTGCACTGCATATCATTTTATAAATGGTGGCATTAGTCGCGTGGATGCGGCACAGACGGAACCGGCACACATTTTCCTCCTCGCTAGCGGTTTGACACTGCACATACAATGAAACATCTCTCGTGGAAATCGAAATGGTCAGTGTTATTTAGCCAAAACATTCACTCTTGGAAATGGTGTAGTCCCATAGGACTTATTTTTTTCGGGTCCTTCAGATTGAAATGTCTCGCAGGTACCCTCCTACTGATAAATGGTGTTGTCATCCATGCCCTGTTTAATCTCGAAAGTGGCCTTTAGTTTTTTACTTATTAAACTGAACTGCAAATGCGCGTTTTCCCATTTGTTGCCTTTTTTTTCTCGTTTCTGCGTCATAATTCGTAATCATTTACTGCGCAGTTTAATTAAGTAGTGAATAGCCAACTGGATTAGTTCCAGGCACTGGTAACCTTCAGTTTTAGTTTCACTCATCCAATGTGATGATATTTGAGGGCAGGTAAAGTAACTTTGAGTTGGCGACTGGTTATTAATACTCATTCTTCTAAACTTTGCAGACCGAGGCCAGCCACCAGCCCAGCTCAACTTTGGCAGTGCCAGACCTTTGGGGTTAGACTTCCCCAGATTAATGGGACCAACTAGCCGGATCCAATAAGGAATGGCCACAGCTCAGCCAACTACTTGCGACATTTCTCTTTCCTTGCATAACTTTGTTCGCCGACACACTGTATCCGTTTTGTTGACGTGTAATTCCCAAAACCTATGGCGGTGATATACCGTACAGTTAGTTTTGCGTCATGCCTGACTTTTTTCAGCACTACAGAGCGGGAGCGACGTAACTAAACAATGCTCCTTGATCATATCCAGTTGTGTCTTGCTCGATTTGTGTGAGGCTGTTTCGACGTAATCCTTCAGCGAGTGTTTAAAGGTGAAGTGAAACATTTGTAGTACGTGGTTAATAGAGAAGTATTGCATTTAAGTTTTGTTCTGCATTTTTTACAATCGACCTTTTCGGGATGTTCAATATCCAGTTATGATGCGCGTGTTTGTTCGTGCTTTGATTATTTTACCTTTTGATTCACACCCCAATACGAATGTAAACCCCTGAATTTCTCTACTTTATCTGCACGATGTGTCTCTGTTAGCTTGTTCTTGGAGTTTGTTCTGGTTGGGCTTCTCTGTTGGTGTAGTCTAAATAAAAAAAAAAGCAACTAAATAAAATTTTGCCTTCACTCCCAACAGAAATTGGCCACGCAGCATTCGACAACAAATGGCAGAGAACGGACTGCGAGGACAGGACCGCGGAGCTCTCTTTCCAAAAGGCCGAAATCCAGCGGCAACCATGCAAGATGGACCCACAGGGTTGGACGGACGGCGGTGCGACTTCTGCCCCCAATCTTATGGTGCCCAGAGAACTAACAACACCAGGTATGCGAAGACGCACACGGGAAAACACTCATCCAGCCTCGCACCTTCTTAGCACACACTCACATGTTCATGAACGGTTGGTTCCACACGGATTGAAAAACTTTTTGTAAGCTTGGTTTTCCAGAAGGTGGAAAATGTCAGGGGTCTGAAGTGGTACACAAAGTTTTCCTCCCGCGGGATAAAGGGGTTACATTCCAACGTCCGAGTACTACAACTATAGTGAAAGTAAACAAACAAGCTGGGCTCAACTGAAGGAACATTTAGTTCGAGCACTCCAAGTTGCAATTGATACATCTTTTTTGATATCAGAGAAATGTACCATGCTGAGTTGCTTATTTATATCACAAATTTCTATTTTTTCCTTTAGTTCCGGTTGATCGAGTAGCTCTCACAAATGCTACAAATTCTGTTTGACGCATAAAATAACCCAAAAAGGTTTGGCTGTTTCAAATACTTGAAGATTTTCTCAAAACATTATTTGTCACACCTAGCTTTAGCTTTAGACTGGCAAATGTGCATTCGAATATCGAATTAAAACATCTTTTTTCGCTGTTTCAGATTGCTCGTAAAATAATCGCTGTGTGCCTTCGCACATTATTAAGTTTCTAAGGTACACAACGAGTATTTTACGAGCCTATTGAATGCTGTTTTGTGTAAGAAGGTGGAAACTCTAAGGCAGTGGCCTCAAACTCATTTGAGTGTGGGGGCCAGGTATCCCACCCCTGAAAAGTCGAGGGCCAACGTAAGACCAGGGAGGAGAGGGACCTTGTGCTTCATGTTTTTTTTTGTGTCAAAGATTTGTTAGTGACATCTTTACATTTGATTTGCTTATAAGCCTACTTTGGGCCTTGACCTGATGTGGTAAGAATATAATGACTCCGATCCGCAAACATGCTGGCATTTTTAATAGAAGCACACCTTCGTTCCCGTTGCTCAATTCACCCAGGAATTAATCAAGCTCAAGATGTCTCGGAAAACAATCAGTTAATGTGACAGTTGTTGTTTTCCAGACGATTATTACTGCAACACTCGAACAAATACTTGTATTTTAATGGTAATAGCTTTTTGAAGGTGAGAATCCCGAGCTTCTTCTTCTTCTTGTTGTGAGGTCCAGAGAAGGAAAGGCAAAGCCGGGAGAGATGTTGGCCTCCTGTACGGGGCGAGTCGCTACCCGGCTTGGGGAAGGGGGAGGAGCCGTAGGTGGCTAAAAGAGATAGTGTGGAAATTTGGAAACCAGTCCCGTAGCTTTATCTTTGCCAGTTGCTCCTGCTGATTGGTCGCGCCGACGAAATGCATCCTTCAACGAACAGCTTGCGCTTGCAGCCTAGCCGCGGAATTATTGTACATTACAAAAATCTGGCAAGCAAAATATGAAGAGAAGCAAAGGGCAAATGAACAGAGATAAGCATAAACTATGTGAATACGTTAAAAGAGCAGGGCTACATTTTGAGTGAAAATGAATCGGCGAAATGTGATCAAGATGGAGCATGCGATTTCTAGCGCTCTAGACATTGGGACCGGGACACGTAGCCGGTTGCCTGCGGGCCGCGTCCCAGCAAGTCGCGGGCCGCGTGCTTGAGACCCCTCAGTCTAAGGAGTCAGATGTGGTACATAAGTTCCTTCCACGTGGAAAGTTCTTTAAGGTTTGGTTAGCGCCCTGCACCGAGCAGAAAAGTACACCACAACACATTGCAAAGTTTATTTTCTTAGGAAATGGGGGGGGGGGGGGGGGGGAAGAGATAAAGGAGTTATATTTTAAAGACTGAGAAACGACAACTCAAGTGAAAGTAAACAATCAAGCTGGGCTCTACTGGAAGAACATTCCGTCCGAGCACTCGAAGTTTCAATTACTACACCATATTTGTTGACTGATATCCGAAAAATGTACCGTGTTGACTTTATTAATTTAAAGAAAAGTCTTTTTTTAATTTCAATTGATCGAGTGGCTGTCAAAACACTATAAATGATTTTGATTGAATGAAATAGCCCAATAAATTTTCGATGTTCAAATGATTGAATATTTTCTGCCAGCATTATTTGTGTCGCCGAAGTTTAGCTTTAGACTGGCAACTGTCCACATCATTGTCGATATAGAACCGCGTTTTTCCCTGTTTAAATCGCTCGTAAAATATTCGGTGTGTAACTTAGCGATTTTTCAAGTTTCAAAGCTACGCAACGATTATTCTACGAGCCTATTGAATGCTATTTTGTGTAACATAATAATCTGTGGGTGTGTGAATGACCCTTCCAGCGCTACTTAATACACAGTCACGATCATTATGAATGTCAACACCCTATCACCCAGCGCTCCGTACTGGCAGCGTTATGCAGCCGCAGTGTTGTAGGCGTTACCGTAGAAAAGGAAAGATACGTTATTAGCTACTTGTGAAATAAAGGAACGCGTTACCGTTACCGACAGAAAGTAGCGCACGTTACTTTTGCGTTACTTTTTATTAGGGAGTTTTCGTAGACCGCGCTGACCCCTCCGCTAAGCGTTCCGCAACGAAGAAGTTGCTACTGCGCCTGCGCGCCGATAGCCTTGACTGTGGAGTTCCCGCTATCGTAGCGGGTTGCGGAGGGCCTTGCGGGACGGCGAAGACGATCTACGAAAACTCCCTATTAACAATTGACGGTAACAGCGTTTGTGTTTTATTTTGGTGTCAGCGTTTTTCAACACTGGGATGACGGGAGCGGACGTTGGAGATTTTCTAAAGTGGGAATTTCTGCGTGGGAAAAAGAGAAGCAAACTTTAGAAAAATATGTAGAATGAGTGCAATAATTAATTACTTGAATCATGTTCTACGTTTCAGCTTAAATCTAGACGCAGCCGACGCTACGAGCTAATGGGACAAATCAACCAGCGTCAAAATCACAAGTCAGTGGGCCATGACTGTTTATGGTTGGTTCCTGGAAGATTGAACACGTACAGGAACACGCAGAACACCATGATGGTTCCCTTTTCCCTCTTTCTGGTAATTCCCATCAGCTTGTAGCATCAGCTGCGCCTGGACTTTAGGTAAAGCGATGTATGGAAACTGGCAAAAAATACATGTGTCCGTTTTTAAATTAAACTTAGGAAGAAAACAAGAAGGGAGGGACAAACACGTTTTCTTCCTCAAGTTTAATTATCCCTACCAAGCCACTCGTTCTGTGCTAACATCGTTTTTCAAGTTTTCGGAAGATGTAATGACTAACGTAATTACGTTATCCGTTACTTGAAATAACTAACGCAACTACGGTACCCGTAACTGTCTTGAAAAAGTAACGATTACGTTACCACGTTACTGAAAAACGAAAGGCGTCACCGGTAACGACGTTACTTGTAACACGTTACCGCCAACACTGCAGCAGCGACCGCGGCGGCTTGACTTCCCTTCCGCACTTGGTTAGCAGAACGTGCAAGCCACCACAGCTGCCGCACCATAGGGCTGCCAGAGTCGAGTCTTAAACGACCGCCTGTAGACATTTACCAGCTTTGCGAATGAACCTTTTTAACATCTCAAATGAACGAATGCCCACGGAGGCCGCACCGGCATAATGTAGGTATACTGGACCATGTTCAGAACAATTAAAAATGCGCCGACCTTTCTTGCTCTCTCGTGTCATCCCAACAGACTGGATCGGAGCAGGCTATGGCGACAAAGTGGATACCTTCGACCGAGCCAGCCGCAGAGGTGACACCTCTCCCCAGACCAACAATTCGGGCCCACACAAGCAGCCAACGCACCGACAACCGGACAATCACCCGTGCCGCTTCTGTCCTCACTCAAGCGCTTCCGCAGCGGATGTCGTCATCCACGAGAGGACTCACACTGGAGAGAGGCCCTTCAGTTGCGGTGCCTGCGAGAAAACGTTCACGCAGAAGGGTAACTTGAAGGCTCACGTTAGAACTCACACCGGAGAGAAGCCGTTCAAGTGCAATACGTGCAGCAGGGCGTTTACTCAGAGAACCAGTTTGGCGGTTCATGAGAGGACTCACACAGGAGAAAAGCCGTACAGGTGCGAGACCTGCGGTACAGCGTTTGCGGCTAATAGCAATTTACACAGTCATCGGAAGAGACATCACATGTGATTGAAACAGCAACGTGCATCATAGTTGTGGAGGGGATTTAAACGAAATACTGGACCTCCGATGTGTGTTCATTTCATTTGGCGATAGACCTGCAGAGGTTTTACTTGCGAGCAGTGTGTGTTTCGCATGGTTCAAAATGTTTCCGCCTCTTACTCATCGCGTAAACACAGCTAAAAAATGTGAATTTACCTTAGAGGAAGCGACCAGAGTTCTTTTTTGTACACGAAAAAAAGAAAATACTTGAAGCCTTGTGTTTCTTTATTAATTTAGAGTCATTAATCACGTGATGCACCTGGAGTCTCTGGGTTGTCTGTAGGGTCACTTACGTTCCTTTCAAGTCGGCCTCCTCATGACCATAAACATACGAACTCATAAAATAACTAAAGTCTTTCAAGAGCAGCAATCTTGAATATTGCTAATGTTAAGAAAGTATAAGAGCAACCGAGTCATGAGGAGGGGTCAGCATAATTTTTAGATGAGAAATAAAGCTATATTCGAAACTATTTAAGACACCAAGCTGGAAACTAAGGCTTTGCTCATAGGACTGCAACAGAATATGCATGACTCTTAGATTTAGAAAATGCGGTTTAATTTCCTATCTCATTTCGTAATATTCTTCGTCCTTTTCTTTTTGACCAGTTTTTGTATCTGAATTCTGATGACATCACTCAATGTGCTTGCTACATGCAATACTCGTATGTACGTTTTCCTTTTGCACGATTTCTTTTTTTTTTTGCGCATTCACGAAGACGGTTCTCATCATTTAGGATATTCATACTTTCAGTGCTATTCATTTGGTGTTCATATATACTCCGTTTCACCTTAGGTACGAGCGCGCACAATGTTGTGAGCCGGAGGACCAATAAAACAGTGCAGAAAGCGCAAAGCCATAGCGTGCTCTCTGCGCTTGATAGAACTAGCCGGTGGAGGAGCACGCACAGAGAGATGGCGAATACCGGCTAGTCCTATAGTCCTATGAACTGCAGAGAACTCGTCATGGCTTTGTGCCTCTTTTGCTGTTTGATTGGCCCTTCGGCTCATAACATCCGCCACGCTCGGACCTAAGCCTAAACGAGGTATAGTTTCACTTGAATTCGTCAGGCTTTTAAATATTAGAAATTCCTCTTGCAGTGGACGGATCATATGCATGTGTTGTACTAAAGGCATAATTGACTCCATTGTGTATATAGTTATGTATCTAAAAACTACATATGTATAATCCATCTATATATGTCTTAATGTGCTCTGACTTTACAGTGGTTGTCACTATTGCCTGATGCGCCAGAATTGATGGAGGCGGAGTCCTGTTCCCAAACGTATAAAATATTTGTTCTGACATATAGGGTGTTTCCAGAAAAAAAACGGGCAAAAGTTCGACTGCAGAAAGTACGCATCGCACAATACAGAAGCCTGATGCCGTAGCGGTCTGTCAAAAGAAAATTGCTAGAGCTGAATATAATGGGATAATTAATAAATTCCGAGTACTTAAATTGTTAAATATTTTTTTTAAAGGGGTGGTTTCAAAGATAACATTGCTCGGAATCATCGAGAACGACTAGACACCCATGTTATAATGGCATGAGGCACGCTAAGTATTTTAGGGAGTTCTGAAAAAATGCTCAAGTTGGACGCGTATCTCGCTTTCGGTTTCTTATCGGAGAGCATCTCCACGTGGGCAATCTCGCCCCCCCTGTCTAAAGCGCGCAACGTGCGTGCACCGCCACGCATTGCTCATGAAGGAGTGTCTTCACTCTGGCACCGATGTCAAAAAGGCGGACCTCATGTGACTGTCCAGAAGCTTTCTTATGTAGACTTCTCTACGCGCGATGAGTGGCGGCGCACGCACGTTGCGCGTCTTAGACACGGGGGGCGGGATCGCCGGCACAGAGATGTGCTTCGATAAGAAACCGAAACCTACATACGCGTCCAAATTGAGCATTTCTTCGGAACGTCGTAGAATGCTGCGCGTGCCTCATATCATTGCCGCGTGGGTGTTTTTAGTAGTTTTCGATCATAACAGCAAGATTCTATTTGAAACCATGCCCTTCAAATCAATAATGTGCAATTTATTCATTCAAAATTACTTACCCAATTATATTGAACGCTAAACATTTTCATTGGTAGCAGGTGCAAAGGGCGTAAGCTGGTTTAGTGGTAGAACCTACGAGCACGAGCATGTCCGTGCTGTCAGCCATATCCACGCAGAGTGCGTGGTCAGGAGATGAAAACGAGTTGGTTTTCTGGTTCGTCAAACGCGTAGCTCCCACCGCACTGTCAACTTCAAGGGGCCGTGCTCCGATGTTGGGTGTTGGGCTTTCTGCACCAGTGGGACCCAAGCACCGTTGTGCCCGTTGCAGAAAACATGTAACAAAATAGTCACTCGTTAGATTAGGGAGTTGTAGTGGATCGTTTTTCCTCTCCGCTACGGTATCCCCGAGGAAAACGGCGCAGCTGCGCATGCGCGCCGCCAGCCTTCTCTGCATAGTTCAAGGTCTTATGGTGGGTTACGGAGCGCTATCCGGGTGCTTAGCGGGCTGCGGAAACGGTCTACTACAATTCCCTATTGTCAAAACTTAACGGGCTACTGATATTCGTTACCGTCCTACGAACGTAACGATATACCGTTATGGCTACTTTAAAAAGTGAACGAATGTTACTTTTGCGCCAATTTGAATATCACTCATTCCACAGCGAAAGGCCGAGGATATGAACTCAGACAACCGTTTAACATCTTTGTGAGTTATTAGTTTGTAAGATTTGTTGCATGATCATTATTTTGAAAACTGGTTTTATTGACTGCGCTCTCTTTTATTTTCTTTTTCCCAAATAATGCAGTAATGTTTTGCACGACCATAAGGGATTTGCAATAAACTGATTGAATAAAACACTAATTTAAGTGAGGTCACCAGGTGTCGACAAATTTTCTCTTCATCTGAACGGATGCACACTTTGGAGTATTTAGAGGTACTCCCAAGAAAATGGGGTATAATGCATTAAATTACAATATACACCTTCTTGGGAATGCTGCAAAAGGTTCTCCGATTTACCTCTTTTAGAAAGTCGGCGAACCAGTGCATTCTGTTGAGCTATGCGCAGAGTGGAGATTGCGAGCCGATTTCTCCGATTCTTTCGTGAGTTTGTTCTGAAAGCCCTTAAAACCCAGTTTCAAGCGCACTTGAAGCAATGATATTAGAGGTGGGTCAAGAATCAGTCCGGGCATGAAGAAATTGATAAAAAAATTACTTACAAGGATAGGTTATCTGGCGGAGAAGTGTTAGGACCGAGTTTAGTGTAATTAATAGTAAAAGAGGCGACGCTCTTATGGGTGAAAAGAATAGATCTATTCATGATAAGTCGAAGCCGCGGTGTAGGGAGCACAAATCAATAAGGACCACAGTAGGCTAACGACACATTCGGAACGTGATTAAGCGTGCAGACCGGGCTTAGCGACAGTTAGTAAAAAAAAAGAAAGAAAATGGAACACTGATAAGGACCTATCGACCCTAACTGTAAACGTTCGTAACGACCGCAACCGCAGAAAATAGTTGCTCTTTCAAATTAGCCCCAAAGAAAAAAAAGAGCATCATATTTTTCAATATCCAGGACTTTATACCAGGACCGGGGATAGGCGAGCTGAGATGCCGCCCAGGAAGCCATCAAAAGGGTAGCGCCGCTGCGCCCCCATTTGAAAGTATTTTTAGCTTACTAATTTATTTAAACACGGCGGTTCTTTTCAGAAAAAAATATACTCGTTTTGGAATACTTCTCGTATTTGCGTTGTTTTATATTTAATTATGTCTTGTGTAGGCCTCATCCCGTTTGATCAGATCGATGAAGCTATTAATGTTCGGGTGAGCTCTCCCTGACACAGCTTTTATCTTACGGTGCCGTGTCTCCAACGTTGTTTCGGGAGAGGGAGAAGTGGAGGAGGAGCAAGGAGGACAGGCATTGGACACTTGAACCTAACCAACTGTTAACGAAGAATACGAACGAACCGACCCAATTGATAACGAATGATGGCCGAAGCGGGAAGGTTGTTTCGGGTAGGGCGCCTCCTGAGAACTGCGAGAATGGCTGTTTATTGTTCGGTAGTTAAAAAGAGGATATCGGAGAGGGGTGTGGGCTTCCAAAGCCATCGCAAAGCGGGCCCTTTGTCCCATTCGCACCAGATAAAAAAAAAAAGAAAAAAAACAACAACAAACGTTTTAAGCGCTTTGTTTTTCGGGTATTTCCGTGTTCCGAGATTTTTCGTACGATGCGATTTCCAAATAGCATGTAGATTGTTTATATTGTCAATACAAAAACGAAATGTGCCATACATTTCTTTCATGGAGTTCTGTCATAATGTTGCGAAATAATCTACCAAAAGACGGAATGGCGTCGCGTCCAAAGAGCCTAGATTTCACTCCCGCGACTCACTCGAAAGAGTGTCTGATCTCCTTGTGCGAAAAAAAAAAAAACATGAAACTAACCGGTTCGGGGTACAATCAGCAGCCATTGGCGTACCAACCGTGGGGGGGGGGGGAGGGCTTGCTCCCCTCCCACTTCTCAGTGGGGGGGCAAAGCATGTGTTTTGCCCCCCCCCCCCCTCCCCTCCCTGAATCAGCCGCCACTGGGTAGGAAAAAACACTGGCCGGCCGCGCCCAAGGGATACCAAAGGCACCGCCCTCCGACCCGCGGTGGCATATTGTTAACGCGCAGGCGATACACACCCCGGCAACGACGTTCACACCGGATTGGATGGTTCGTGGAGATATGCACTGCCGCCGCCAATTTAGGCAGCGGTTGCAACGCTCGTTTCCAAAGCGGTAGCGTATACTTTAGTGGTACGATGTGTGCTTCATGCATACGGACCCCGGTTCGATTCACGGCGTGGGCTTACTTCTATTTTTTTAGAGCGCAGCTCTTAGGGGCCCGTTTCCGGCTTGAGCGGCGTCGGGGTCGCCGTCGGCGTCGCCGTCGGCGTAACCGCGCGGTGCATTATGGGTAAATTTCCCCGCTAAATCTAGCGGAAAAATTTCCCCGCTAGATTTAGCGGAAAAATTTTTCGCGAAATCTAGCGTAAAAATTTTCCCCGCTAGAATTAGCGGAAAAAATTCCCCGCTAAATCTAGCGGAAAAATTTCCCCGCTAAATCTAGCGGGAAAAATTCCCCGCTAAATGTAGCGGAAAAATTTCCCCGCTAAAACTAGCGGCCCCGGTAAATCTAGCGGAAAAATTTCCCCGCTAAATCTAGCGGAAAATATTCCCCGCTAAATCGAGCGGAAAAATTTCCCCGCTAAATCCAGCGGAACAATTTCCCCGCTAAATCTAGCGGAAAAATTTGCCCGCTAGATTTAGCGAAAAAAATTTCCCCCCTGTCTAGCGGAAAAAAAATTCCTCGCTAAATCTAGCGGGAAAACCTCCCCGCTAAATGTAGCGGAAAAATTTCCCCGCTAAATCTAGCGGAAAAATTTCTCCGCTAAATCTAGCAGAAAAATCGCGGGAAAATATTCCCCGCTAAATCTAGCGGAAAATTCCCCCCCCCTAAATCTAGCGAAAAAATTTCCCCGCTGTCTAGCGGAAAAATTTCCCGGCTAGATTTAGCGGAAAGATTTTCCCGCTAAATCTAGCGGAAAAATTTTCCCCGCTAGATTTAGCGGAAAAATTTCCCGCTAAATCTAGCGGAAAAATTTCCGCGCTGCCTAGCGGGAAAAATTCCCCGCTAAATGTAGTGAAAAAATTTACCCGCTAAATCTAGCGGAAAAATTTCTCCGCTAAATCTAGCAGAAAAATCTAGCGGGACAATATTCCCCGCTATTTAGCGGAAAAATTTGCCCGCTAAATCTAGCGGAAAAATTTTACCGCTATATCTAGCGGAAAAATTTCCCCGCTAAATCTAGCGGAAAAATTTTCCCCGCTAGATTTAGCGGAAAAATTTTTCCGCTAAATCTAGCGGGAAAAATTCCCCGCTAAATGTAACGGAAAAATTTCCCCGCTAAATATAGTGGAAAAATTTTTCCGCTAAATCTAGCGGGAAAAATTCCCCGCTAAATCTAGCGGAAAATTTTCCCTGCTGAATCTAGCGGAATGTTCCCCGCTAAATCAAGCGGAAAAATTTCCCCGCTAAATCTAGCGGAATTTTAACCGCTAAATCTAGCGGAAAAATTTC